TCTGATTTTATTTTTATACTCAGCTCATTAAGTGCTTCCATTTGATATATAATTTGGGCAGGTTTTAAAATTTTTGGTAAAGTTTGAGATTTCGGCCAAAAATTTTGCTCGATTTTTTCAAAAAAATTTTTGAAAAATCATAACTTCGTTTGTTTTTGGGATTTTGGAAAAGTTTAAAGTTTATTATGTGTATAAAAACAGGCTTTATTTTTAAAAAATATAATCAGAAACCTGCTCTGGTCATACCCCTTTAAATTTTGAAAAAACTGAAAATTTTTGAATTTTCAAAAAATCGACCCTAAGACCCCCAAACCTTAAGTTTTTCAGAAATTTTTTAGTTTCAAAAAATTTCTAATTTTTTTCTCTATTTAATAATTCGGAGTTGGTTGAATCAGAGCAAAACTCACAAAGTTATGGCCGATTTAAATTTTTCTAAAATATTTCATAAGGGGTACCCCAGTGAAAAATTTTGGAAAAATTTTTTTCGAGAGAATTTTCTAATTTTCGGCAATTCTATGTTTTAATTGGCGCTGATAACGGATCCGTTGTCCGTTTATTTTTAAAAAAATTTATCCTCCAAGTTAGAGGCCAAAAAGTTTCACTCTTGGCCTGAATTTATGGAGACCAAGGTTTGGTCACTCATAACTTTGTACAAAATGGTCAGAATTTTTTTTTTGATTTTATTATTAGACTCAGCTCATTGAGAGCTTTCATTTGATATATCATTTGGACCACTTTAAAATTTTTTTAGAAAAATTCAAGTTTTGGCCAAAAATTTTTGTTGATTTTTCAGAAAATTATTTGAAAAATCATAACTTTGTTAGTTGTAGGTATTTTGGCAAAATTTAAAGATTATTATGGTATAAAATCTGGCTTTATTTTAAAAAAATATAATCAAAAACCTACACTTCTTGTACCCGTTTAAATTTTGAAAAAACCAAAAATTTTTGATTTTTCAAAAAATCGACACTTAGACCCTCTAACCTTAAGTTTTTCAGAAATTTTTGTACATTAAAAAATTTCTAATTTTTTACTCTATTTAATATTTTTGTTTGGTTCGAATTTGATCATAACTCACAAAGTTATGGTAGATCAAAGTTTTTCGGAAATATTTAATAAGTGTACCCCTTTGAAAAATTTTTGTAAATTTTTTTTGAGAAACTTTTCTAATTTTTGGCCATAATAGGTTTTAATAGACGGGGATAACGAATCCTTTGTCCGTTTATTTAAAAAAAATTTTTGCTCTAAATTAGAGGCCAAAATTTCTCAGTCCTCCACAGATTATGTGTAGGAACATAAGATTTTTTTCTGTTTTTAACCGTGCTCAGTCGTTTTTTGTTACAAAGATTATTATTCTAATGAATAATAATCTCGGGGAAAAATTCGGAACGCGTTGCAGAAAACGCGTTGCCGGAGGCAACCGCAAGAAATTAAAAATATTTTTTTAAATTCGGAACGCGTTGCCGGAGGCAGGAAAACATGCGGGCCGAAGGCCCGCATGTTTTTATGACTTAAATGTAAAAATTTATAACTTTTGAAGTATTAGACATAGAAAGATGATTGAGGTGTCATTCGATGGGGAATTGAATGAGGAGTTGAATGAAAATATTTTCAAAGGTGTCACTTGAGTCTGAGAATGGACATTTGAGTCTGAAATTTTCAAGTGCTGGGAAAGTGATCCAAATTGAATTCTTTTGATTGTAATAACGCTGGAGTCAGCCTTTATACCCAAAAGCTATTAAAACTACTCAGCAATTCGCGCCGAACGCTGGTTATCTATATATAATAGTAAAAAGGCAGTCAGCTAAAAAAAAGTCCCCAGAGCTTTTGAGTGGGTGTATCGGGGTGGGGTTTTTTGCTATAGATGCGCAATACTATGTAGTTTTCAGGAAAACCTCCAAAAGTTGGGGTCCAATGGAGAAAAAATTAGATATTTTGAAAAAACGTGTTTTTTCGAAACTTTGGATGCGAAAATGAGTATGAAGACGAAGTCGGGGAAACTTTTGTCTGCTTAGAGGGCACTCCGCCAAAACATTTGGAACATGATAGAAAAAGAGTTGAAACCGATCGGACAACTTGAAGGGTAGTTATGCCAGTTGACAACTTTTTTGTCAAAGTGGTAACTTTGGATTTAAGGTGTTTAGAAGGGTCTGATCAAAAAGTGGTTGGGAGAAAAGTTGTAGAGCGTGATGGGTTTCATAAGAAAAAAGTTGGATTCAATTTGATTGGATTAACAGAAAAAAAGATATGGAGTAAAAAGTGCATTTTTGAGAAAAATGTATAAAGTTGACCTTAACCATATTTTATTTTGAAGATAGCTAAAAAGTGTTGCAGTATGGAAAATAGAGAATTAAATTCTGCATCGAATAAGCTTTGTTTTGTGTTAATATGATTTTTTTGAGTAGAGTTATGAATTTTTTAAAAAATTAAAATTTTGGGAAAAAATTTTTAAATTTGACGATCTAGACCGTCCGATCTGTTAAGTTAAGCAACGTTGATATGTTTTTTGTAACTTTTGAAGTATTTATCGGAAAAATATGATTAAGGTGTCATTCGACGTGGAAAAATCAAGCGAATTTTTTGAAAATATTTTTGAAGAAGTCACTTGAGTCTGAGGGTAGGATATTTGAGTCTGAAGGTAAAAATTAGTGGAAATTAATTTAAAAAATTCTAAAAATTATGGAAATATTAAAAAATAAATTTTTAAGAAAAATGACACTTGAGTCTCATTTCTAAATTTGAGTCTGGGACTGAAAATTTTGAAAAAATGCTAATTTTTGATACTTTTCTGAAAAATATTTTTAATGTTGTATCGCGATGCCTTGAACGCGTTGCTGGAGGCAACCGCTAGACATAAAAATTATTTTTTGAAGAAAACTGAACGCGTTGCAGAAAACGCGTTGCCGGAGGCAACCGCCAGAATTAAAAATTTTTTTTATTCGTAACGCGTTGCAGAAAACGCGTTGCCGGAGGCAACCGCCAGAATTAAAAATTTTTTTTATTCGTAACGCGTTGCAGAAAACGCGTTGCCGGAGGCAACCGCCAGAATTAAAAATTATTTTTTTTATTCGTAACGCGTTGCAGAAAACGCGTTGCCGGAGACAACGCGTTGCCGGAGGCAACCGCCAGGAATTAAAATTATTTTTTTTTATTCGTAACGCGTTGCAGAAAACGCGTTGCCGGAATTAAAATTATTTAGGAATTAAAATTATTTTTTTAATTCGGAACACGTTGCAGAAAACATGCGGGCCGAAGGCCCGCATGTTTATTTATAACTTAAATTCAAAAGTTTATAACTTTTGAGGTATTAGTCGTAGAAAGATGGTTGAGGTGTCATTCGATGGGGAATTGAATGAGGAGTTTAATGAAGATATTTTCAAAAGTGTCACTTGAGTCTGAGAATGGATATTTGAGTCTGAAGTTTACAAATACTGGGAAATTAAGCCAAATGGAATTATTTTGATTGTAATAACGCTGGAGTCAGCCTTTATACCCAAAAGCTATTAAAACTACTCAGCAATTCGCGCCGAACGCTGGTTTTATTTGTAAAAAAAATTCACCAAGTAAACATTAATTCACATGTACATACATACATATACATATATTTTTTTAAATATTTAATTTTTATTTATTTACCAATAGTTTTGACTAGAGACCAAATCGAGATATTCTTTGAGATCTCGATTCTCGTACGAAATACCGGACACTCCCAGTCCGGTCTCTAGTTTGGACATTTTTAAATATTTTAATTTTTTATTTCAAACCTTCCAAAGTACCCCATACAGAAATATTATTTTAATTCTTTAAAGTTTTATTTTTTATTGTAATGTAAAATTTTGTATAAATCTTTTAGTATTTCCTTTTTAAAGTTAATTTAACACAAAAACTTGTTGTTTACCTCATTAAGAACTTTATTATTTATTTGTTTGTTTCCCTTGGAAACAAAAGAAAGAAGCCAAATTCGCGAAAACGAGAAGGCATAAACATTTCATTTTAATATATTTTTATTTTATTTTACAATTTAAAAACTTTTAGTTAAGTCAATTCTTTCCTTTTTTAGTTAAAAAACTTCTTTAAATAATGTCTAGCGAGAAAAATTATGTTCCAGATTTAAAAAATGTTGATAGTGAATCTGTTCCGCCAAAAGAAAAAGTAAAATTATTTTTTTAAATAAATTATTTTTAAAATTAAAAAAGGAAATAAAGAAGACACATCCAGGCCGTCCAGGTAATTTAAAAAATTATATTTTTAAGGGTAAAATTAGGGGCTTATAGAGGAGATAAACACACCAGGATTTCCAAGTCCAATTAACAAAAAATTATTTTGATAAAGTCTCTTTTTAAATTTTTCCCTAAAGATCTGGATTATGACGAGGCTCGCGTTGGCCCAGCAGAAGGATATGTTGAACAAAAAGAAAGTCAAAAATAAAAACAAAAATTTATTTTTAAAAATATCTGTCAATTAATTAATTTAGAATTGCACACACACAATTATATATTTAAAAATAAACATTTTGTGCAAATTAATTATAAATTTAAAAGGAATAGATTTTCACAACAAATTTAAAAAGGAATAAGTAGAGAGAGAGAGACTGTCACCTAATTTTAAGAAAAAAATAAAAACAAATTAACAACAAAGCACCAAATTAAAAAAGAAAGTCTATATAGGATTAAATATAAATCTATATATTTATTTATTTCCAATATTTGTTGAATGCCTCCATAATCTGAAATTTAAAAAATAAAGGTTTTGTTTAAAAAGAATTAACAGTTAGGGGATTTATTATTAAATTTTGCAAGTTTTTGTGTGAAATTAAACTAATAAAAATTTAAATTAAATAAAAACAAGGCTTAATTACAACAGAATTATTGCTATTATTCCACAATTATTTAAGAGAATTCCAATGTTTTTAGGGAAGAAAACTTCAATTAACGAAAATGTTATAACCCAATATAAACTCTTATATTTTGAAAACACTTATATTCTAAACTACTACTTACTTATCCCCAAAATAAATTACTAAAAATTATGTCGATATATATTTTAAACAAAAAATTATTATTTAAAAAAAAACTAACAGAATCGTAAATCATAAAAGTAATTGCAACATCCAAACAACTTTAAAAAAATAAATTAAAGTTATTAATTTAAAAATTAAACTTACACTCTGCTTAAACGAGGAACTGTTCCCTTATAAAAACTTAAAAAATAAAATAAATTTTTATAAAATAAAAGAAAAATTCTTACGCAAAAAATCCTTCTTTAACCCAAATCTGTTTAGCACAATCAAAAGTGTTTTTATATTTCTTTGCTTCCAACCCTTGCATTCTAGTCTTTACAACATCTACAGGTGTGTTACCATAACTAAAAAGTAATTTTTCTAAAAATTTTTTAAAATAAATTTTTAAGTTTGTTGAATTTAATAAAAGCAAAAATGGACTTTAATCGGAAATTTAAATTAAAAATAAAGTCTTTTGATTATTTTTTATACCTATGGTGAAAATTTAGATTTATTGTTTGAACTGCAGAATTTAATTTTTAAATTTAATTTCACTCATGACCTATTAAAAAACAAGTTATTTTTCTAAATTTTGACATAAGCATAAAAGGAAATTTTCTTTTCAGTTTTCTTATTAAAAATTTAATAATATTTAATTTTATTTAAATAATTATTTGTCCAATTGTTTAAAAAAATTTTCTCAAAGCAAAATTTCTTACACACTAGCTGCACCAGCAATCGCCCCAAACAATCCAACAACAGGTTTACTAACAGATTTACTACTATCCCCACCACGATACCAATCTTTTAAAGTTTCCATTACGAAAAAACGAATTGCTTGATTACTTCCTTGTTTTACCATTGTGGCTGTTAATCCTTGATAAAGCCCCTAAAAAATAAAAATTTAAATCGAAACGTAGAGGAAATTTGGAAAAAGGGGCTGAAAGAAAGATTAGTAATATTAATCCAAGGTTGATCCCCATATTTTTACTCACAAAAAATTAAAAAACCTTAAATCCTTCAGTTTTAACAATAACTCCAAGTCCATGAAGAAATCCACGAAAACGAGGCTTTTCCAAAGTTTGGTCATGTATAAATTTAACTTTAATTGTTTCCATAGGAGTTACAGCCAAAATAGCTTCTGATACACCAGCACCAAGTCCACAAGCAAGTCTAAGTAAAGGAGAGAGATTTCCACGTTCATCGACAGCTCGGCTCTTTAATGACTCAAAAGCACCAAAACGAACAGAAGATTTTGGAATTGAACCATATCTAGATTAAATTTGAAAATACTTGTAAAAAACTAGAAAACATACAATAGAACAGAAAGTCCTCTATAAAATCCAAAAAATCCTTTACTTTTATAAGTCTGTTTAACACAATCAACGGGCCCCTAAATTATTAATTAAACTTTATTTAAAATTAAAAAAAAACTTTAAATCTCGGGACAGCAGAACGTTCATCTAATTGTAGTTGAGTCTTGACATATTCTGTTGGATAAGTTATACAAATTTCAATTCCTCCAGTTACCCCACCAATAATAATTCCTTTTGTTGTTTTTTCTGAAGGTAAAAATCTAAAAATGTTTTTATAAATATTTTTAAAAACTTTATTTGGCTAAAGAACACTTTACCGGGCGATTTTTGATTTGGACAATCTATATGTTAATCGAAACACCAAAATTAGGTGTCATGTTCTCGCAGATTAAGGTACTTTATGGATATGTCACCCCCCTCCTATTTTGAGTCTCAGAGTTTTCCTTAAACGTAGAAAATGGTCAGCGATTATTTTCTTCTCAATGTCAATCATTTTTCTTTTTTCAAGCAAAACAAATGAAATGTGGTAAATGTAGAAACGAAATGAGTGAAATGTAAGTAAAAAATATGTGAAAAGGCAAAATAAACAAGCAAAATACTTGAAGAAGAAAAAAATGATTGACATGGAGAAGAAAATAATCTCTGACCATTTTTTACGTTTAAGGAAAACTGAGACTCAAAATAGGAGGGGGGGGTGACATATCCATAAAGTACCCAGATTAATTTTGGTATAGTTCGACTTAGCTGCCAAAACTTTCGATTAAAATATAAGGTGCAAATCTAAAATCTCCCAGTAAAGTATACTCCGGCCCTTTATTTAACCTTCTATATCCAGAAATTATATTAGAATTAACATTAGTTGTTGTTTCATTATTATTTGGAGGCATTACCTCACCTCCTTTTTCTAAATACTAAAATTAAAAAATAAATAAAAGAAAAGAGAATAAAAATATAAATTGGAAAAAAAATAAAATATAACGCCACATTTTCCCTGAAAAAAAGTTTCACGTGAAAATAACAGAATTACTAGTAAAAGGAAATGGAATGATCAATAAAAGGTTGGCAAGAAATAAAAGTAAAAAAAATTTTTTTGGAAATAGAAAAAGGAAATCTTAACAAGTTTTGTACATCAACTTCTTTGCTTCAAACCTAAAAATCTTCTTAAGATGAATGATGTCAAAAATATTGAAAAAAACCCATCTGTCAATTGTAAGGTTATTAATCGGTGACGAAAAGACATATGGCAAATTGTAACTAAGCAAAATAAAATATAAATTGGGATTAAATGTCATTTAAATAATAATAAGCAATATGACAGAAAATAATTTGGAATGTTTATTTAAATTTTTTACTTATTTTTGATAAAACTTCACGAGAAATTGTTAAATTTATAATCTCAAAATATGCAAAAATAGGATTTCCAGAAAGTTCTTTTATAAAAATTTAAACATTCTACAATCTTTATGTTCGAATATACACTCATATTTATTAAAATTAATTCATTACTTTTCTAATTTTATTTTTTTAGAGTATTCTGAAAAAAATTAATTTTTAAAATTTATATTCAATGAATTGGATTCACTGTATGTTTTTTAATCAGAAATTTCGTTTAAATATTTAAATTTAAAGGTAATAAATGTTCGTCAGTTCCGGCTACAGGAAAATGTTTTTTCTGGCTCACTTCTTGTGGACATGTTTTTTGTGGAGAATGTGCTGGAATTGAAAAAGGATGTAAGTTTATTTTATGAAAAGATTTTTTTTTTTGAAAACCTGGAGGAAGGGCAATACTATTGGTTTGTTTTTCCAAAAAAATTTGACTTGATAATTTTCGAGAAAATAATTGTCGGGTCTTTTAGATCGCTCAGGCATTTTCCTCATTTAGTGACCAACCTAATTAAAAAAACACTATTTTAAACTGAATGAGGGTGTTTTTGGGTTATTTCGAATTGAGACAGGACATTTAAATTTAGCTTTTGTGCATGGAACTGCAAGTTCCGTTTCTTGTTTTGTATGTCATCACAATGTAAAAGCTGTTCAAATTCGTCGAGGTATGGATCAATCAGCAGCTGTGCTTTTTCGTCCACCTAATGAATTGTTGCAAAAACTGAGCCAATTTTACAAAATTGGTGAAATTATTAAATTCCAAGCTTGGCAGTTTGCGAGTTTTCAACGTCTTAGACAGGGAAAGGTTGAAAATGTTTTTTTAATTTTCTTGAGGAAATTAATTAATTACAGGATACTTCTCAGGAAGTTTACTACAAACAATTACTTCAAAAGAAAGATCGAGAATTGGAGAAGGCTTTAGAAGAGAATAAGCGGTTTACTACTCTGTAAGTATTTTTATTTGATAAATTTGAAGAGGGGAACTTATGTAGAGGGTATTTATAAAATAAAAATAAATTTATTAAAAAAATATTTTAGACTTGAAAACAAAGAAAAGGAAATTCGTCAACTATCTCAACAACAAAAAGAAATGACACAAAACAATTTAACAATTATGGATGCTTTTTCTGATGATTCTTTTATGCCACCTCCAACAAAGCGTCAAAAATATTTATCTATGAATTGTCATTCTTTTAATACGCCTCTCTCATTTGGTGGTGAATTTAACAAAACGAGTACTCCGGTAAATTTTTGTAATTGTTTTAAATTAGAACAGAATGTTGTTTTTGCGATTTTCTTTAAGTATTTTTAATTTTTTAGTGAAAATTAGTGTTTTTGGTTTTTCTTAAAATATTTTACAAAAATATTTTCTTTTTTTAGATTCAAAATCATTCTCAATCTTCATCCAATTCTTTTGTACCGGCATCTTCTACTTTTTCTCATAGGCTTTCTGCTACAGGGTCAATCTTTCACCGACCGTCGCCTTTACCTCTTGGAAAAATTACAAAAGGTAAATTAAATAATTTCAATAAAATATTAAATACATATTTTTTTAATTTCCAGGTCAAGTTTTGCCTCCTCAACAATTTAAACATCGTTGGTGCAAGTAAATATTTTTTGTCTTTGTTTTCACATTTTTATATTTTGTTATATATTTTTTGTTGTTTAATTGGGTATTTATTGTATTTAATTGCTTTTTCTTGTGATTTTTATTTTAATTTTTGGAAAATAAATTTTTAAATTTAATTCTTAAGTTTATTTTTAAATTTTCATTTATTTAAAATATCTTTTAGATTTTTGAATCTTTTCTTCATTAAATTTAAAAGATGTCGCAAGTCTGTGCTCTTTCTTTTAGCTCAAGAAGATTAGGTGCTGCAATTTATGATGAAGATGAAAAAGAAGTTAAACTTTTGGATATGGCTGAAGATGACGATTTTTTGGTTCTCGAAAGGCGTTAGTTTTTTAATTTATTGTTTTGTTTACCCTAAATTTTTTGAAAGATTTTTAATTTTTCTGGGTCAGGGGAAAAAATCTAGTTGTATTTTTCCTTAAAATTTTTATAATTAGGAACATCAATTCTGCCAAAATTTTTATTTTATTTCTAACAGTATTGCGTGAAGTAAAGCCAAGTCATATTCTTGTAAATCGATCACAAAGTGCCGAATATCAAATGCATTTGCGTAAAAAATGTATTTTATTTTTAAATTGTTTTAAATTTCATTTTAAATTTTTAAGGTAGTATGGTTTCTGGAATGGAAGAAGAAATTTCTGACAGATCAAATTTAAAAGAATTTTCAACTTCTCAATTTGCCCAAACACAAATAACTTTTGTAAATACAATGGAAGAAAAAGAATTAGATAAAAGTACATCAAAAGAGGAAGGAGAATTGGATGATGATGATTCTTTACTTTGGCAGCCTTCAATTACTTTTTTGCCTGATATTGCTTTTAGTAAGTAATTTTATTTAATTTTTAAATTTGTGAGAGATTTTTAAAGAAAATCCTTCTGGCCCTATCAATCTGAATAAAATAGTACTGTTTTTCGGTCTCTTACAATTAGTAAATAATCAACTGTCAATTTACGATCTCTCTTATTTTTGTTCCAACCTCTTCCCTACCACCCTTTCTGTTAATCTTACATTAACTTTAAAAGTCTCAATTTTGTAAAAATCATTTTTTAATTCAGAATTTCCCCAATCTTAAAGGTTTTGTATTTTCAGTTACTATTTAATAATTTAAAGGTTTTGGATTAGCTTGTAAAAAATTAGAGCAAATATTTGGCGCTGGTGTAAGAAATAAACAAATAATGGCTTCTTTTCGACTTGATTTTACTTCTACAAATATGGTTAATTTTTTAAATTAATATTTTTTTATTAATTAAAATTATTTTAGATTCGTTCATTGGGGGCACTTTTAAGATTTATGGAACAACATGGAATTAGTGGGCAAGCTTTTGAAAATTTAAGTGTAGAAAAGATGACAACACTTTTTTTGTAGGTTTTTATAAAATATTTAACTTTGATATAATTTTTAATCCATCTCCTCATAGGCTTACATTTTTATAAAAAAGGAAACTAAAAAAACGTATTTTACAAAAAAATTTTTTAAAGCTGTTTAAGCCAGGATTATAATTTTACCGAATTTCCTTTTTTTTCTTGAGAGGTTTACTTTTTTGTTTGTGAATAATGAATCACTTTTCCGCTAATTTTTTTGCATTAAACTAAAAATAATTTTAAAAACATTTAAGTGATGATTGCATCGAAGTTGACTCAACAACACTACGCGCTTTGGAAATTTTTTATTCAGATTATACTCCAGAAACAATTCGAAAAAAATTTGTTTGGGGAAATAATAGACGTGAAGGAATGAGTATATTTAAGCTTTGTAATCTTTGTCGGTCTTCACCTGGAAAACAAAAACTTAGGTTTTTTTTTAAAAATAATTATGTAGTAAATATTAGCGATATTAAGAGGGACAGAATTTATTTTTGGTATTCGATCTTTAGATTAGAAAGGATTAAAAGTCGCTTATAATGAGGGGACTATAAAACTTTTTATTTTTTTTATTTTAAAGAAATTGGTTTGAAAGACCAATAAATAATTTAACAATACTTTCTGAACGTCATGAAGCAATTTCATATCTCCATCAGGATTGTAATGTGGAAGTTACTTCATTTATATATAGTTATGTTAAGGATATATTTTCTATCAAGGTTTTTATTTCAAATTTAAATTTAGTTATGTTTGTTGACATACCCTTATTTTTACTCATTCCATTTTTGTCATGTTTACCTTTAATTTTCTTTATAAAACGTTTTAACAAAAGAGAAGTAGAGTTGCAAAGTGCCTAACGGTAACTATACGTGGGTCATAGCCCGTTGGCAAAACTTGTGCTTGCAAGCTTTTATACTTTAGCAAGATTCTGTACGCAACAATAAAAAAATTTTCAAATTTTATTGCTTACTTATTTTTAAAAAATATTTTGCAGCCAATCTTCCGTCGTATACGTCGAGGGAATTTACCAGTTTCTGACTGGAAAAATTTATTTTCGGTTAAATTTAAATAATTTATCTAATAATTTTTTTATTTTTAGAGTATTTGTGCAATGATAAAAATTGGAGAATTTTTGACTGAAAAAGAAGTTAATTTGGCTTTTTTAAAAGGTAAATTAAACCTCTTTGGGGCAAGACTTCAACAAGTTGCTTGTTTAATTTCTGAAGTGGTTAGTTTTTTTGATATTTTATTCTAATAGTAGTCTCTTCTCCCATTTATTTGGACATCCTCTCTAGCAGAGACTTGTAAATAGCTACTTGATGAGTTTTTTTCGATAATGAACAAAAATTCGATTGCGTACTTGTTCGATATGGTCAATAACTAGTAGTGTTAAATTTCCATCTCTAATAATCTCCTCTAGAAAATACCTTCTGGGTTTATAGCAGTTGACACAAAGCATAAGTTTATTTTTTAGATTGATTTTCAAGAAACACTTGCCGAAAACCGAGTTGTTATTAAACAAGGAATAGATAAGGATTTGGACAAAAGTTATTTTTCTTTTTTGTTTTAAAATTTTTTTCTCTTCCAGAAAAGAAATTTTATGAAAATTTGCCGGATGAGTTAACTTCTGTGGCTAGACAGGAAGCAGAGGAAATTTTGATACAAACATGCACTGTTGCTTATTTACCTATAGTTGGTTATTTATTAATGGCACCTGCATCTGTTGAAATACCTGCAAGTTCGAGTATGTTAGTTGAATTGGTAGGTAGAAAAATTATTTTTTTTTGATTTTATTGAAATTGAACCTACCTTTGAGACTGGAAAACTGTATCTTATGAGGGCCACAAAACTTTTTACCTTTCCTTTTCTAATTTTTCTATAAATAAGTTTTAGAATATAATCTTTCTTTACTAGATTTTTATCTCAGAAGGAATGTCTTATTTTAAAACTAAACGTATGCGTTTATTAGATGAAAATATTGGTGATATTAAAATGGACATTATTGATGCTGAAACTAATATTGTTTTAAAGTAAATTTTAGTTTCTTTTTAATTTTTTTATTTGGTTTTTAATGGTTACTCCCCTTCAAAAAGTTAACATTTTTTAAATTTTATTTTGTTAAATTTAACCTCTGAAATATAAACATTCCGTCGAATACATTGAGGGAATTTTTTAAATATTTAGAGCTACTTTTGACAATATTTTTACTTGTTCTCAAATTTTTCAAAAATTTAGTTTAATTCTTTATAGTTTACAAAAACGTTTACTTGGATCTCGTCAAATTGTGTTGGATGCAATTGATTTGGCTGCTACTTTAGATTGTTTTGTTTCACTGTAAAAATAATTTTTTATTAAAATAAACATGTTTATTTAAAGTTCACAAGTTGCTCGTAAATATAATTGGATATGTCCAAAATTTGTAGAAGAACCTATTTTATCAATTAAAGAAGCTAGACATCCAATAGCTGAACATTTGTGTAAAACAGGGACTTATGTATCTAATCCAATAATGTAATTAAATAATTATTTTTTTAATTAAAAAATATTTTTTTAAATTAATTTTAAGTAGTTCAACAGAAGATGGAAAAATAAAAATTTTATTTGGGCCTAATTCTTCTGGAAAAAGTGTTTATCTTAAAATGGTTGGTAGATTAAAAGTTATACAGAAATTTTATTTAATTTAGACAAGGGTCTTCACAGAACATTAATTTTAGATATTCCAAAATTGGTGTGGCGATTTTTAAGCAATACCCCCTAATATAATGTAAAGATTTTTTCGACACCAAAGGGATATCTAAATACAAACCAAAATAGCTGATTAGTGGGAAAATTGTTCCTATACTTTTTTCTCTTATTTTCTCTTGTTTTTGTGAGAACATTCTTTTTCCATAAAATTATTACGGAGTTGCTAATTTTTGACAGAACTCTTTTGATTTAATTAAAAATAGAAAAACACAAAATTAACGATGCGATAAAAAATATTTTTTAAAATAATTAGATTGGAGCAATAGTTTACCTTGCAAGTGTTGGCTCTTTTGTGCCTGCATATCGTGCTACTATAGGAAAAATTAGTAGAATAATGTCAAGGCTTTATACTGTTGATTCTGTATTGGATGGAATGTCTTCTTTTGCAAATGATTTAAAACAAGTTTTTTGACAAAAATATTTAAATAATTTATTTTTTGTTTTTTAGATGTCAAGGGCTGTTGCCAGAAGTGATCAAAATTCTTTATTAATTATTGATGAATTTGGGAAAGGAACACAAACGGTAAGAAGATTAATATAAATTATTATTCTAAAGAAGAATCGGAACTTTTGTTTAACTAATTGTTCCTTTTCCTTTGTGTAATTAAAATTCAAAGGCATCTCTCAATTTATAATAAAATAATAGCAATTTTTGTTTATTTTAAGGAAGTTGGTCTTTCTCTACTAGCTAGCTGTTTAAATTATTGGCTTGAAGGTCCAATAGAAAAATGTCCGCATGTAGTCGTTGCCTCACATTTTTATGCACTTCCAGAACTTTTAACAGATCCAAACAAACTATTAAAATATCAAACAATGGGTGTTAGTAGATTAGATGATGATACTTTAGATTTTCATTTCAATTTGGTTGATGGTATTACTGACTTTAGTTATGCCACTTTTACTGCTTTAAAAATGGGAATACCTAGAGAGGTTGTTGAACGTTCTGAAGAGGTAAAATTAGAAATTTTATTTAAAATTTTGTTTAAAATCTGCAAATTTTCTTTGGATTTACAGTCTGGACAGGGATTCTGTCTTCCTTTTCCTTTGTCTTGAAGGGCCCATCCCTAATATATAACTTGATAAAATTGCTCAATTTTTTTTATAAAAAGAGTTGTGTTTTTTTTTTATTTTTTGAGGTCTATCTAAACTTAAGATCAGGTGGTTTATTGTCTGATTTAACACCCATTAAATTACCGGAATTATCAATTATTAAAGAAGAATTAAATAATGAAGAACAAAAAACAGATGAATCTAATATTATAAGTAAAGTAGATGAAACTATTTTTGATCATCTTTTAGAAAATAAAGAAATTATTTTTGAAGAAGTAATTGAAAAGAATAATGAGGAAAATAATGAAAAAGAAAAAATTAATTTTACTATTGAAGAAGAAATTGTTGGGAAAGAGGAGGAAGGAGATAATGTTAATAAAATTATTAATTTTATTGAAAAAATAGAAGAAAGAAAAGAAAAAGAGAAGGGAAAAGAGAATGTTGAGAAAGATGAAGAAAATAAAAAAGAAAATAATATTAATTGTGTTGATGAAACAATTTTTGAAGAAGAAGAAGGAAATAATGCAAGTATTTTAATAATTGATGAAGAAGAAGAAGAAGAGGAGGAAGATGATTTTAGTAAAATAATTGATGATGCTGATAATGAATTTTCTTTTTAAATTTTAAAGATTTTGTGGATTTTTGTTTAATTTTTGTTAATTTAATAATTGCACGGGTAAAAAAAAGATTTTGGATTGGATTTTGTTTAAATAAACATTTTGGCAAAGATGGCATTTATTTTTATAAAATTTACAATTTCTGTAATTTAAGTACTTCTGGAGGGGACCTCTCACTTTTAATTTAAAAAATATTTTTTCTTTTTATATTTTATCAACTTTCTTCCCTCCTTTCTCCACATTTTCATAAAAAAGATTTCCTCTTTCATTTTGTTCTGTTTCAATTGATTCAAATAATGCTTTAAAATTACCAGCTCCAAATCCCTTTAGTAATTTAAATTAATTTTAAATTTAAAAATAAATTACTTGGTGATTATGACGTTGAATTATTTCAATAAAAAGTGTTGGGCGGTCCTGACAGGGTTTTGAAAATATTTGTAGTAAATAACCATTCTCATCAAAATCAACAAGAATTTTTAGTTTCTATAAAAATTAAATTTTTTGAGGAATTTTTGTTTGGAAATTTAAAATTTGCTCGCACTCATACCTACATGCCTATCTAAATTTTCTCGTACACATAAACAGGTAGAGTATGAATTTTGAAATGAGTATTCAAACATTGTTTGGAAATAGAGAATGAATAAAATTATTTGGGGATTTTTGCGAGTCTTCACTTTCCATTTTAGATAGAGGAAAATAGGGCAAAGAATGTAAAACAATCCCCAAAGCTAAAACAACCCCCCTACATCCAGTAGCTGACTAAGTCTTGTGTGAAATGATGTCCACTAGCCGGGAATGATTTTAATCAAAATTCATTAGATATTTTTCCTAAATTTTGTTCCAAAACTGAAAAGTTCTTTTAAATTCTCCTTGTCATAGCTAAAATCTCCTTATACCAAAATTCTTTGTTATATTTTTAAAGATTTATACGACAGCCCCTCAAATCCAAGCTTTTCAGTTTTAATCAAGATTCCCCCCTCTCCTTTCCAAAAACACTTATTTTTAAATAATTCCCCCTAAAACAACCCTCCTCTTTCTTCCATTTCTTTCAAAAAATCTACTTGTAATATATTAATATCTTCTTCAATTTTCATTTTAGCAGCTTCTAATCTTTCCCTCAAATTTAAATAATAAGAATCTGGAATAGAAAGAAATTGTAATCCTCTAAATTTAAGTGATTCAATTGCTTTAATTATATTTGAAGTATTTAAAGCAATATGTTGAACACCGGCCCCTCCATAATAATCAACAAATTCTTGTATTTGAGAGACTGCTTTTCTTGATTTTGCTGGTTCGTTTATAGGCATTTTTATTGTTTCCTCTTTATTTGCCATTACAATTGAACGGAGGGCCGAATATTCTGTGTGAATAACAGAATCATCTACTGACCAAAAACGGTGAAAAGCAAGTACTCTTTCATACCTAAAAATGTTTGGATAAACTGAATACGGAGGAATTTAAATCCATTTTTTTCTAGAAATTACTATAAAGGAAGTACAAAGTTTTACGTAATTTTGTTCCCTAGGAATTGAAACAAAATCTGAACAACGTTCATAGAGCCTCCCTCCCTCCCCAGCATTATAACTTTCAATCCCTCGATACCCCCATTAATCCTTCATAATCCCTACAAATCATCCAATATTACTTTTAATCCTCATAAATATATCCCACAATCTTTCTTGTAATCTCAACTCAGTTTCAAAACTGTATCTTGTATAGGCTCGTTTTTTTATGTATAAGTTTTTTTATCTTGTATAAGTCGTTATATTCTATTATATTTGATCCCACAAATTTCTTTTTTTCTAAATTTTAACAAATCCTTCCTACCATTGTGCCACACTTTCCATAGTCAAATCTGGTTGATTTCCCACACAATGATCTATAAACTTCAGTTCTGGTTGAGGAAAATTAAATTCATTTTCTGTTTCCTCATTTGCTGGTTTAAATCCGGGAAGGAACACTCCACGATATTTACTTCGATCAATTAATGTGTGGACTGTATCTCCATACTTTAAAATTAACAAAAGAAAAAATAATTGTTTAAATTGATTAATGTAATTTTAAAAAGTTTTTTCTTAAATGTTTTGCCAAGTTAAATTAATTAATCAAATAAATCTTTCATTAAAACAAATATTTTAATAACTAATTAATTTAAAACTTTACCGTCTGAATTGAAGCCTGAAATTAAAAATATTTTAGTACCTAAATCTTTATTCGCATCTTAGATACCCTCAAAATTAGATACCGATTTACTAAATAATTACCCTGGTTAATTATTCTTTCAATCATTCACTGGAGGGGATAATTTAAATAGAGGGAGGGAGGGGGGGGGGTAATTATTTGAGTAAATACGGTAATCCTCATTTAAGTGGGTATCTAAATTTTTCTCTTCAATTTTCTCCCTTACCACCCTAACAGATCCATTTTCATCCGTATCTTCAGTTACATCTTCAACAATTTTCCCTCCATTTATTTTTGCTTGTTCAACTATCCAATCCAAATTATCTACTTCAAAAGCAACATCTTTTACACCTTTTTTATTTTAAATTTAATTTTTTAATTTTAATTTAATTAACCATCTCCATGTTTATTTAAATGTTTCCCAATTTCTTCATTATTTGGCAAAAGAGGGGATTCAAAAACAAAAATTATTTTTCCCTGCTTTATTGCATGGGCTACTGTTCTTTAAATATTTTTTTAAAATAATTAAATTTTTTTTCAAAACCTTCTACTCCCAGTTTCAAGTCCTCTATATGCAAATGTTTTAAAACCAAAATTTATACGATACCAATGAGCAGCCTAAATTTAAAAATTGGGTAAATAATTGAGAGCAGGTAAATCGAGAATATCATCTTGATTAAAATCTAGTCTCGGTCTAAACTCTCTAATTTATAAATTGGTTATACTGTGTATTCTTGTTTCTTTAATTTAAAATCCTCTCTAACCTGCTTAGCATTTCCAACCCAAAAGCGGATGTGATCGAAACAAACAAAACGAGAATCTTCTCCTTCTTTTTTTCCGTTTTTCATTATTTCTTTAAAATTAAATTTTTAATTATTGAATGAAAAATTAATTGGAGAGAAAAGTGCGCAAAAATAATTATAATTTGTTGATTATTATTCTCTTCTCTCCTTTTTTATATTTAATTAATTAAAGTATCTCTCCATCAATTATTATTTTGATCATATTTTTATTTTATTGCATCAGACACACGCGACTTTAACATTATTTTTTTCGTTGAAATTATTTTTATTTAATTTAATATTTTCGTTGAAAAATATTTAAAACAAAATTCTTTTACCACGCGTTTATTTTAATTAATTTTAAAGACTCTTTTAGAAATATTTAAACTTTATTTCTCTTTAATTTAATCTTTCAGGCTTAGGAATATTATGTTTCAACGAAAAAAGTTTCTCCAATTCGGATATAGACTTAAAAAAATTAGATACATTTATAATGTAGTAGTGAAATCTTACAAGAATAATTTAATTTTTCTATCCTCTCTCATCTTTGACTCGTCCAAATAACCTCTCGATCATTCTATCCCAAACTTTAATTCAAAATATAAATTAATTTTTAAATCAACCCCCTCAATTTATTATTTTTTACTTTCTTTTTTTTTTAATCAATTAAAAAATATAACCAACAACCAAAAAAGTGATAGTGGTCCTCAAGAAATAAAATTATAAGAAGAAAAAAAGTTATAGTATATAATTTTACAAAAATGTACTTATATAATAGAAAAAAATTTTTAAAAAAATAGAGAGAGAGACTGTTCTCACAACTAAAAAGATTTAAAAAATAATCAAAAAAGAAAACTGCTGCCGTTTTTAAAATGAGCAAAAAGTTTAATTTTAAATATAAAGAAATGAGAAAACCCAAAACAGAAAGAGAGAAAGTTATATAATTTGAAAGTAATTAGAGAGAGAATTCTATCAGTAAATATACAGACTACTTCAATTGTAGCTACACCTTTGTGGCTTAAAAATAAAACCTTAAATTAAGGGTATCATATCCTAAGGGAATCCCCTGATTCGATATCCAATCCAAAATCCCCGGCCATTTTTGTGTACCCGGTACGCCAACTCTACTTGTAATGAAATTACTTTGAAGAGGTGATATCTCTTTTAAACGGCCTCTCCCTCAAGTGCCAAACCAAAATAAAAACATCCATTAAATGTATCTACAAATCCGTGTATTTACAATTGAAGACTGTATTTGGTTAGAAAAAAAAATTCTAACAAAAATAGTCAAAAAAATGGTGGTATTAATGTTTAATAGTCTACATATTATTTTAAAGTTTTCTTTAAAAACCTTTCTATAATATTCCTTTTCATTTCTCTCTGTTCCTACTCTATATGTCCCAGTTTATTCGCTAGAAGGAGGCAATACTTCCAAATGTTCAGACGAATAATTAATTTCATTAGTCTCAGAAAGTATTCCGTTTTTACTAAAAAATATTGTTACAAATTTTTATTCGTTTAAAAAACCTCAAATTATTCCCATTCGAAGCATAATCACTAATAGTTGTCGAATTTGATGAAACTGAAGATGGTTGAATAACACTAGTCAATGAAGAACTTGAATGATGTTTTAAACGATAACATTCTGGCAAAACTTCAAAAGATTCAAGACTCTCATTTCTCATACGTCTCTAAAAAATTTTTTTGATTTAATTAAAATATTTTTTTAAATTTACTGAAGAATTCTCATTTGAATATTTTCCATTAATAAAAGGTTCACGCATTGAAATATTATTTTGTTGACCATTTATATTATTTGAAGAATTTGATGATGGATTAAGTTTTCCAAGTTGCTTAAATTTGAAAAATAAATTTATTTTTCTTTTCATTTTAAAAACCTTTTCAAGATCATATATACGTCTCAAAACTTTATCTTCAAATTGAGACGGTACACGAGAAAGTCCATCAACATCCAAACATTTCTAAAATAAAAAATTATATTACAAATTAATCCGAAAATATATTAAAGGAATTAAATTCAAAAAATTCTTTTTTTTTCATTCCAAAATTAACAAAAATTTTTGGAAAATTTCCTTTTCTCAATTCGGAAAAAACAAAATTAATATATTTGGAAAGTAAAAGAACCTGGCAGAAAACTGCAGAAATTGAACCTATTGTACAATTATCATGTATCTTTGTCGCTGAATGTCCAATACAAGGCGAACCACATGAAACACCAAAACCAATGGTTGGCCTTAAACAAAAATCAATTTACAATAAAAATTAATAAAAACCCTGGAGATGGAATTGGAGTTGTTAAATTCATTGATTGCTCTACTAAAGATGTCAGACTGGCTGCTGACTGAAATTAAAAATATTTAAATTTTAATTAAATCAAAAACCTGAGATCGAGAAAGACCATTATTTACTTTGTCAGAAGAAACATCTTGTGTGCTGCCTGTTCCCGTATTTTGATGAGAAGGTTCATTCTTAATAAATTAGGGATGTAACAAAATATTAAGAAAACTCTCAAAAAATTGTCTAAATGTCATAACCCATTTAGAAAATGTTTGACATTAATGTTCATAATTCTGGTAGTATCTAACATTTTCAAAATATACCGGATTATTAATTAGCGACTGATCAGCCGTACAATAATAAGCATCTCTCCAAATCAACAATTCTGGTAAAGTTTTTGGGTAACGAAGCATTCCACCAGCATAATCCTCACGAAAGGCAGGATTGCGAAATCTTTATAAAAAAAATAAATTTAAAAAAACATTTAACGAAAGCTAAATACTCTGTATTGTGTTTCCCCAAATAACTCCAAACTTGAAAACAACGATGTCTATGCTCATCAGTATCATTTGGATCGCATCCATTTTTTATTGCATCCTTCAAAGAATTAAACAAAAAAGTCCCAAAAAGACCAGAAAAAGTGTGTTGGGCAAGTTTCATCTAAAAATTAACAAAAAAATAATAAAGAAAATTACTTTTAAAAAACCAAATATCGCCGATTAAATTCAAATTGGTCAGTATTTTTCTCCCAAAGTTGATAAACGCAATCCAAAAATTGAAGAAAAACTGGACACTTTTCATTATCATCAGTATTAAGAACACCACAGCGATCAGAAAATTTATGTCCAAATTCAATCCATTGCCAACGAATTAAAAATTCAAAACTGAAAAACATTAAAATTAAAGAAGAAAATCTTTAAACATAAAAACCCTTCAAAAGTGCGGTAATGCGGATCGGCTATTAACATACACAACGAAACAATTTGAGTAGTACGATCCCAACCATCCGAGCAATGAACAAGAACACTGGTACCTTAAAAATAAAAGAAATATTTAAAAAAATAATTTAAAGAAAAAACCTTCATTGCACAAAGATTTTAAACAACGTTCAACAGAATTAAACAATTGACAAATATTATGTAGCCAAAGTGTAGATTGCAAATTTTGAAGGAAAATATTAGGATCTAAAGCGCCGTTAAGAGTTTGACGAAGTTGATGAAAGCTGTATCGAATGTTGTGAATATTTGCCAAACCCATAAAGATAACGTCAGCATTAGGGTAAGTATCTAAATTGATAAATTAGTGGTTTAGGTTACTTGCTTTGTTATTTTAGTAAACAACCCGATTTTGGGACAGAAAATAATTACCAAAACTTATTAAATTTAAAATAACCTGGTCCTTCAAATCCACCTCCTTTGGCTCTATTTGCCCAAGCAGCCGTGTAAGAACGAGCATCAACAATAAGAAACTTTTTGTTTAAATCTAAATTTAAGATAAAAAATTTAAAAAATATTTTTCAAAAACCTGGAGAGATCGCAGAACGAATTCTTTCGTAATGAGAGATATCCTTTCTATAAAAAATTTTACTTATTAAAATATTTTAAATTAAAAATTCCAACTCGTTTGTCAATCCAAAAAAGCCAATAGATGGCTGGCTGCTTCGCAATAAAACAGCTCCATTACGTTTGTTTCGCCAAACAACTGTAGGGAATCGACGATAGCAACGGCCATAAGACATTTGCTTCAAATCCTCATCGCTAACAGATTTTGGAACAAACAAAAATTGAGGATAAGTCGGACAAATTCTATTTATGAAAATAATAGTTTAAAAATTTCTTAATAATCTTACTCAAATGTCTCATTTTTCACAGAAATTCGCCAATTATCATCTGGAAGTTTTAAACGTCTAAAAAGGAAATAAATTAATAAAAACAAAAAAATTTAACCGAAATTCGTTGTGCAAATGTTCATAAGCAGAAAGCCTTTTAGTCTCTTTACGTAACCAATTTGGTGGCTTTTTTGATGTTTGATTAAAAAAAGTAAAAGCAAATATGCCATCCAAATCTCTAACAACACAAGTCTTTTGCATCAACTTTTTATACCAAGCACAGGCAGTCTCTGAGTTTTCAGCTCGAAGTCTTAAAAGATTTTCGGTAAATGACGTTTCCATACCACTCTTTTCCTCCGTTTTTTCTTATACATGTACAGAATGGTCAGACCTTTTATCTTTCTTCCATCCAAATTGCTTTTTTATATTGCTCAAAACCAATCAGAAAGGCAAATGCGATGAAAAAAGGAAAAAGTCTGACCCTTCTGTACATATTCTATATAGAAAAAACTTGGAAGGAAAAGGAATGATACTACTACTACTGGATATTTTAAATATAAACAAAAAAACAAACTTAATTATCTTGCCATCTTTAGAACTAATTTGAAGTCCAACAATATCTTTCGCCTCTAACAACTAAAAAATAAAGTCTAAGAAAAATAATTTAAAAAATTAAAAATACGTCAACTCCTGTTAAAGGGATTGCACAGATTGCACTCTGATTATGAGCAACAATAATAATACGAAATTGAGTAACATAAAGTTGACCTATAAAAAATAGAAAAAAATATAAGAAAAATAATAATACATGATTCCATATCTACAAAATTGTCGCTGTCAATGTCTTCTCCTGGCAGAAAATACATTGAATGTAAATTAGAAGTCGAACGAGAGGACTAAAAAATTTGAAATGAATTTTAGAATTAGTGTGAAATTTAGGAATTGAATGAAAGAC